ATGGACAAATTTCTTAATTGGGATTAAGTATAAAACCCCAATTTTTTTAAAAATGTTGTATAACTTTTTTATTTTTGCTCCAATGTTCACATAAAATATACTTGGTATCAAAATTCATAATTTTTTTTATCTTTCATATAAGATCAACATTGAATATAAAAATTCAACTTATTAACGCGCACTGAATTGTGTTATTTTGTGGCCGAATTGATTGATATTATTATCGATGATTATTTTAAGCTATGTTTTAATATAGTTTTTTCCTATTTTATTAACAAAATAAATTTCAAATATACCTTTTTTTCTTCATAATTTAACATATTCATCAGTCAATTCAGATGCTTCAGCCTGAATTTCATCAATTTTAATAGATTCATTCGATTCAGCCAATTTCAGTGTTACAAAATGGATTCTAAATAACACATATTTACTTATAAGAAAGGAGTAGTTTTATAAAAATACACTTTTACCCTCTAAAAGATCTATGTGTCTTTCTCTCGTAATCCCTCATTTTTTATAAAATGCCATGTGGGCAACTGAAGGGCTAATATGGAACACCAAGCAAAGGAATGTAAGCATTTGTATCTCTCCGTATTATTAAAAAGCATGGCATCCATTTATTCTTCATTTTTTAAAATCGTTATCACTTTTCATTTTTTTCTCTAATTTTCACAAAATATACTACGTATATCAAAATTCATAATTTTTATGATTTTTCATGACACCAATATTACATATATAAAAGTTAAAAAAAATCTGAAGGTTTATTAAACAGCTTTCCTGTTTTCAAACTCAATATGGACTATTAATACTTCTTCATACAAAGTATAATTTTTATTTATTTTATTAATAAAATATATTTTAAAATACAATTTCTCCATAATTCAGTAAATTCATCCAATCCATCTAGAACGTCATCAATTTCGATATACACCAATATTGTACATATAAAAAAATGATTTAGTGCTTTAAAAAAAACATATATTGTATAGTGTTATAACAATTTTATTTGTACTTCAATTGTTACAAGAAATATATCATAGTTCACAATTTTTTAGTATTTTTCATATGACACCAATATTAGATATATAAAAATAAAAAATAAGAGATAAACACAAAAATAATTGAACGTAAAATATTTCTCTCTCATATGTAGTGCTATGGGTATATAAGATAAGTGAGCCAATAATTGAGCGAGGGAATTTTTCTCTCATATGTAATGTGTTTAGGTATAAGAAGATAAGTGGACTAATAGTTGAATTGTGGAATTTTCTCTCTCATACGTAGTACTTGAGAGGAAGGATTTTCTCCATGATACGTACTGCTTTTGGGTATAAGAAGATAAGAAGGCTGGACTAACAATTCAACGGGAGAGTGTCCTCCCTCATACGTAGTGCTTTTATATTAGGTATAAGATAAGACAATTCGGCTAAAACATTTGAGCGGGAGAAATTTCTCTCTTACGTAATAGTGCTTTTGGTTATACGACAAGCCGGCTAAAAATTGAGCGGGTGAACTTTCTCTCTCATACATAATGCTTTTAGGTATAAGAAGATAAGACAAGATAATGCGGCTAAAACAATTGAGCGGAATTTGTTTTCTCTCATACGTAGTGATTTTAGATATAAGAAAATAAACCGATTAAAGCAAGAGCAGAAGAACTTTCTTTCTCATATGTAGTAGTGCTTTTAGTTATAAGATAAGCCGGCAAAAAGTTGAGCGGATGAACTTTTTCTTTCATACATAATGCTGTTAGGTATGAAAAGATAAGATAAGATAATCTGGCTAAAACAATTAAGCGTGAAAATTTTATCTCTCATACGTAGCAATTTTAGGTATAAAAAGACAAACCGGCTAAATTAAAGCTTGAGCGGGATAATTGTCTCTCTCATACGTAGTAGTGCTTTTGGTTATAAGATAAGCCGGCTAAAAATTGAGCGGGTGAATTTTTCTCTCATGCGTTATTCTTTTAGGTATAAGATAAGATAAGATAAGAAGATAGGCCGGCTAAAACAATTGAGCGGATAAATTTTCTCTCTCATATGTAGTGCTTTTAGGTATAGGAAGATAACCAAACTAAAACTTGACGGGGAAATTTTCTCTTTCATACTTAATGTTTTTAAACATAAGATAAACCGTCTAAAATTTGAACATGAGAGTTTTATCTCTCATATGTAGTGCTTTTAGGAGGTATATTAAGATGAGATGATATAGGATAAGCCGGCTAAAACTTGAGCAGGAATATTTTCTAACTTATATGTAATGCTTTTAGGTGTGAGAAGATAAGAAAGCTAACAATTTAGCTGAAGAATTTTCTCTCTCATAAGGATTTATACTTTTTTATATTCACTTATCGTACTTTATTTTTGAAATTATGTAAAATGTTAGAAAAAATTTGTTTATATATTTAATTAGATCATGAATAAAAGTATATATAGATCAACTATTTTTCCCGTGTGTATGCACGGGTACTGTGCTAGTTATTATAGCCTATAGGTAGAGATTACATTTTTGTCGATCAACACTACCACTGCTATAGTTACAACACATAGTTACAACACATAATTGTAGATCTGAGTGCAAATATTGGATGCTATAATTACAACACGTGATTGTAGATCTGAGTGCAAATGTTGGAAACACAAATTATTACAACTTTTTTACTTCACATTGTTACATAAATATAAGCATAAATATAAAGATAAATATAAAGATAAACATAAAGCTAAACATAAACGTAAACATAAACGTAAACATAAACGTAAACATAAACGTAAATATAAATGTAATATAAATATAAATATAAATATAAATATAAATATAAATATAAATATAAATATAAATATAAATATAAATATAAATATAAATATAAATATAAATATAAATCTAAATATAAATATAAATATAAATATAAATATAAATATAAATATAAATATAAATATAAATATAAATATAAATATAAATATAAATATAAATACAAATATAAATATAAATATAAATAAAAAATGTAAATATAAATGTAAATATAAATGTAAATATAAATGTAAATATAAATGTAATTATAAATGTAAATATAAATGTAAAGATAAATGGATGACAATGGAACTGGTTTAGGGCGGGGTACAATCCTCCATCTCCTACCCCATGTTTAAAAAGTTCACCCATCCTCATCCTATAACCCGTTGCTCCTAGCCCCTCCCTGCCCTTTGGCTACCGCAGATGCCTACTGTGCTCCATGCAGATTTAATTTGCCTTTTTTGACTCTGTATATTTTTCAATGGATTATACACACACATCATTAGCACTAAAAGAGCTAAACTAGATAATATTGTGTGTGATAAAAGTAAATTCATAAGTAACACATTATCATCATATATGTCATTGTAATCTACGGGTGGGTGGGGGTGGGTGGGTGTCGTTCTAATTCATCATATAATATATAATACAATTAATTATATGTGTATGTGTTCCGTGCATTCACTTCTCACTTTAAAACCTATCTAACAATTTTGATAAATATTACTACGTTTTAGTTATTAGTTATAACTAATATGATATAGTATATTAATTCATTAATGATGTGCACTAATATACATACATGTATGTATGTGTACATGTATATGTACGTGTGTATGTGTTTGTTATATATTGTATAATATAATTATATATGTTACATGTTATTTATGTATGTATTATAAATATATAATAAATGAGAACACATAAAAACTATTAAAGGTGGAAATTCACCCACTTCGGTTTGGAATGAGTAGTCGTCAATCCTATTGGCGCACTTTACAATTGAATCCAATTTTACCTTGTAACCTTATTATATACGAAGTATTATATATATTTTTAAGCAAAAAGCGGCTATTATTAAATTTAATAAAATTGTACAAACGCTGATGAAGGAACAAATTGAGAGAACCTATAAAAACTCGTTCACTTAAATCGCTAAAGCACAATGCGCCCATTGCGTTAGAGAAATCCTAGCAACTCGAATTCCAAAATGCCCTAGAACGTTCAAAGACAACTTTTCAAATTCCTCAAAAACATGAATAAAATGGGCCTATTGTTGATCCAGTTTTGCTTGGATTTTTTGTTCAAGTAGGAGATCGAGCAGCTCCCGATCCGTAAACCATGTGTATTCAATTACCTCACCCTCCACACTAGAGATAGTTTGTGAATGCTCCCAAAAAAAAGAGACCTGTTGAGGTGATTCTTCATTGATATCTTTTACACCGCCAATTTCAACATATATTAATGAGCCCTCGAAATCCTTATTCTGCTTGTACAACCCCTTATTGATGCTCTCTGATTCCGGAATATAAACATAATGATTTCTAAAAAAGTTTTTCTAAAAGAATAAATAGGAGATTGGTCACATGCTCTCAGTAGCAGAATCCTCATATCATAGTCAACACAAAAAAACCAAAATCCTCTTTAATAGTCTATATTTCCCTTTTTCTTCCCCTCTTTCAAAAGATCATGCAAATTAAATATAGTAGAATACAAAGATGAAAATCAGTACCCTTCCTAGTTCTACCCTCGACAATAATAATATTAAAATTGCCCCTATTGTCAACCACCACGAAACAAATGAAACCTCCAAATCAGTGGCGGAGCCAGGAATATGCATGATTTAGAGGGGGTCGAAGCTTAAGTCAATTATTTTGCGAGGTGAAAGCTTAATATGTTAAAATGTTTTATATTTATGTAGTATAAAGACTATTCGGGAGGGCTGGCTTCATCCCTACTCCAAATTCATTTTCATTAAAAATATGAGCAATTTCCGACAAGTTTCATACTTAGTGATGGACCATGGTTTCCCAGGAGAACACAATAGAAAGCATTACACAACCAATCAATCCCACCCTCATTAAAAGATATCCAGCAAGTGTAGTTATTTTAAATTATGTGATTTGAAGCGAAGAAGTTGTTAGCTTAAAATAAAAAATCTTGCTTTCACTATAGCACTACATGTGTATAATTCATGCATGTAGGTCTGCAGAGGTGTGGAAAGAGTTGCAGATTGAGATGGATAAATTACTTGAGGCCTGACCTTAAGAGAGGGATGTTTTCACAAGAAGAAGAAGACCTCATACTCACTCTTCATGAAGTTCTTGGAAACAGGTAATTAACCCATGGCCTCCTATTTTTCGTCCTCTTTCTGGTCATAACTATAGATAATGAATCCCTCAAGCTGAAAGTCTTAGCCCAACTAGTTTATTACACATCTAGGCACAGACCGTGTGTGTAAACCAATTGGGCCTCATGGGTGTAGGGAGAAATGTACTTGTAAGCATAATGAGGGGTATGTAAGTGCGATTTAAGGAACTATAGAGCAAGACTTATGTGAGAGATGGTGCCCCTGTTACACATATCACTTTCTTGCTTTTTCCAGTTTAGGAAAGACTTGTGCAATCTTTTTACTGTGAAAGGATTGCACATTTAGTACTTCCTATTATTTATTTTCTCTTTATATAAATCACAACCAAACAAATTTCTTTTATCAATTAACATATGATAAATCAATTCAAGTTGTAATTTTATGTTTATATTGGAAAGAATGGGGTATTCTTTTTCACAATGTTTTTAACTATACTTATTACATGGGATATTTTTTAGCCAAGTGATATATTCTTTAGTAGAAAGGTGAGATTATGGTAATAGTCTACACAAGGTTTAGGACTAGCTAGTTTTATTGGGTGTGGTAAAAAATCACATAGTCGTATATTACACTTCTCCATCAAATAAACAAATACGTTATTGTTTGGTCAAATGGCAGGTGGGCACAAATTGCAGCAAAACTTCCCGGGAGAACGGATAATGAGATCAAGAACTTTTGGAACTCTTGTCTTAAAAAGAAGCTAATGAAGCAAGGAATTGATCCACACACACACAAACCCATAACCCAACCCCTATTAATAAGAACAGAAGATCCAAAGAACTGCAGTAGTCTTCCAGCATTGCCTAATGATCATCTCCCAAATTTTGAAATCTCAACTACACAAATGACCAGCAAAGAGCAAGCTTTTGATCCTCTCTTCTTGTATGACCCCCAAGAGAATATGAATTCTTACCTCAATCCCAATTATGGATTTAGCTCATTGCCCGGACTAATGAATATGGAGTGTGATATTTTCTCAGATGGATCGAATTCAAGAATGGGTTCCAACAACAACAACATCCTGGATAATGTGCCACGATTTTCATGGGAAATTGGGAACAAAATGGAAGACACATTATTTAATCAGTATGGGTTCAACAATGGTGAGATGATCATCAAACCTGAAGAAAATGAGGAGGTAGTGGAGGAGGAAGGGCAATTAATTGACTATCCATTGACTTCCCTTCAACATGACATGAGTGGGGATAATATCGATCTCTTCCCTCAAATTTGAGATTTGATACAATTACAATTAAGTTTAATCTATGCTTTGTACTTCTAGGCTTTTTCTTCGGTCCTCCCTTCCCCTATAAAAATACAATATACAACTACATAAGAACATGTGTTTTTAGACTTAAGTTGATGAGGTGTGAATTCTTCCCCCTTTCAATTGATTATCTCTTATTATTTAATTTATTTCAAATTTCATTCCATGGTAAGTGTAAAAGTTTTCTCAGAATTTATTGGCATCATGTCTTTATAAAAATGATATTGTTATCGAATTTGCTAACTAAAACACTGACAATGGCTTGGAACTTGGCCGGTTCTACACTCGAGAAGGAAACACAAAACTAGAAGAAGAACAAAATGGAAGGAAGCAGGTATCCTCCATGATCCTGCCCACCACTCCAACACTAGTTAAATCTTATCTGGTGCAGGTGAGATATCTCAAATATGAGACTAGACTTCTTTGCACCCCACCATCAATATAATTAGATATCCTCCCTCAATTTTTGAAAGCTTCAGGTCAGGCTCCATTGGACCTCCTACTGTATTGTAGCTCCCCATCTTGAATTTTTTAGAAGTTCCTTTTAATCATAAGTGTCATGTGAAATGAAGATTGCATCTTTGTCTTGTTTCACCCCAAGGCCAAATAAATAAGTCATTATATCTAGGTCGGTGATCTCAAATTTTCTGGGCATTGTCTCGTTGATTTTTTTGAGAATCTTCACATTGTTCCCCATGAAGATTGGATCATCGACATAAAGTGCCACGAGTAGGACCTTCTTTTCTCCTTCTTTAGGTAGAGAGCATTCACATATGGACATTGTTCGAACCCGTTCATTTTGAAATAGGAGTCCATTTGAGTGTCCTGTACCTTGTAGCAGAGCGGCTACCCAACAATATGATAGTTTCCATCCAAGCGACTGATGAAAGCAATTCATCGTATGCAATAATAATTATGGGAATAATGTCATACACTTAATACTCGTAATAACCAAAGTATATGAAAATTACAAATATATGCCCTAACTATACATTATTACACCCCTCAACCTGTATAGTGGAAATAATGTGCATAATGGAAGGTAAAAATTCAAAGCCCCGAGTAGAAAATGTTTTAGTAAAAATATCAAATAATTGATGCTGAGTAGGGACATATTTGACTACAAGGTCTACATGAGCAACACATTCTTGAACAAAATGATAATAAATCTTGATGGGTTTGCTTCTTAAAATGATAATAATTCTTGAACTATAGGGACATTAATAAAACTTACTACCATGTCAATAAAGAACACGCGCCGTATATTAACCCGATAGTAGCAATAAACTTTAGATGAAAACGATGGAGATTAATAACCTCAACACAAGCGGTTTATTGGTTAAATCAATATAGTTATTTCCCCTTAGATTATCAACCATGAGACACATGCATTAATAATCCAATTTTACCACCGTGAAAAGACCGAACGATTAACAAGCGTATTCGTCGATCGATTCTAGTTATAATTAATATATGAAACAAAACTAGTTGATCCTTTAAGTAATGCTCAAAATATTAATATGAAATATGAATAGGAATTAATTAATATTCAAGGAAGAAAATTAAAGAAAATAACTCACAACTTACAATTAATTAAGCTTCAAAGTAGCAAAACCAAGATGGAAGAGTTTGGCTCCTCATTTGAAAACTAAACATATTAGAAAATATAAAAGAAATACTTGTCTAAACTGAGCTTAGAGGTATATGTGAATTGGTGATTTTATTGTGAAGGTAAGGGGTGTATTTATAGGCTTTTGGGAGCTGCAGGGTCTGATACCCGACCTGGTAAATAGGATACCCGATCGGGTATCTTAGGAAATTTCCCAGAAAGTCAATTTTATGGGCATACCCAGTCGGGTATGTGAAAAATCTTTCTCGATTATTTGCTCCCACGATCATTTGTTCTCGGATTTGATTTGGACAATCGAATCAAGAAAATACTTGATCGGGTATTGCCTATACCCGACCGGGTACATGAGTAATTTTTCCAAATCGAAATCTTTCTTGCCTCCTTGCACTTTCCGTGATCTCTTAAGGTCCAATCTTGATCCTTGAATGATATTTGACCTATTTAGCTCAAAATAGTCCTAATCTAAACAAATTACCAATAATTATGAAATAAAGTATTACACCAAAAGTGTGTATTTTTTTTTTTGGTGTGTGGAAATTACACACCAAAGGTGTGTAATTTCCACAACTAGAACTAATAAAAACTAGTTAAAAATAAAAAAATACATAATATGAAATTCACACCATCAATCAACTAGTTTTGTTTTATATATTAATTATTACTAGAATCGGTCGACGAATGTTCTTGTTATTCGCTCGGTCCTTTCAAAGGTATAAAACTTGGATTATTAATGCATGCGTCTCATGGTTAATAATCTAAGAGAGATTAATTATATAGATTAAACCAATAAACCGCTTGTGTTGAGATTGTCAATCTCATTTTATTTCTTCTTAAGTTTTATTGCTACTATCAGGTCAATATAAGGCGCGCGTTCTATATTAACTTGATAGTAAGTTTTATTAAAGAATGCATCTCGTTATTAATAACTACCCTCGATGAATTGAAAAATACCTCACGACTGAATATTAAATAGGAAGATAGTTAAATATATAACTTGGATCGACGAACATTTCTCTAAGTGGAAATAAGAAAAACCAAGTCCCCATCTCTATTAATTTTTTTGTCTCCATCTCTATTAATTTATATAACATAAGTCGTTCATCTTAGTGTTTAAATATTATCAAGATCAAAAAAATCTTAAAACCTCCCTTTTACAAATTCATAAAGAGCAAAATTTCTTTCTATGTGGATACGAACCTTACTACGGTATACTATGATATTATGCAAGTATTGTATTTATCTTAAGGCACACAACGACTTTAGTACCGTCAAATTTGGCGTTGTTTCCGGGGAAAGGCAATTATTTTTCTTTGGTTATAAAATAAAAATATACAGATTTCTTACTTTTCTATTTATGAGCTTTTTTTGAATATATAATCATACGAACTCGTTCTATAAACAAATTCAGTTACCAAAGAAACCCAAAAACAAAACAAGATTTCGAGCGGTTGAAAACAAATTTTCAAATGCCGACTTGGAGGAAATATCAACCAGAGAACCATCAAACGCTAGCTCTAACTCTAGCGAATTCGAAGAGCCCATCCACATGGCTCTAGAAACAAGAACTTTGAGCGAGCTCACGGCTCCGAATCTAAACCAACAACCTCTATGTATCACCTTCCCTACTCTTGATGAGGGTGCTACATTTGAGTTAAAATCTGGATTCATACATCTACTCCCCTCTTTCTATGGTCTACGAGGTGAGGATCCAAACAAACACCTATCGGAGTTTCATATAATTTGTACGAGTATGTGCCCGAATGGTGTCACCGAGGGGCAAATAAAGCTAAGGGCATTTCCATTTTCACTCAAAGACATGACTATGCATTGGCTATTCTATCTTCCCTCGGGAAGTATAACAACATGGGCAGAAATGAAGAAATGTTTCCTTGAAGGGAACTACTCTGCTTCAATCTCATCTAACCTCAAGAAACAAATCTGCAATGTTGTCGGCTTGACTTCTTTGGTAAAGAAGCTCCTTCTCAAACCCAAAACTCAGAAGCTCAAGGCTTGTGGTATATGCACGTCACAAGGGCACCCCACTGATTCATGTCCGACGATACAAGAAGAGCATCCCGAACAAGCAAATGCCATGGGATTCAATGGGTAAGCACCATAAAAGAGGTATGATCCTTTAATTTCTCAAACACTTACAATTCGAGATGGAGGGATCATCCAAATTTGAGACATGAAAACCCTTAAGGCTCAAACTCTGAATCTAGTATGTCAACTGATGACATGATCCGAGCTTTGATCTCAAACATGGTTACCGTGCACCAAAACATGGGGCAATTCCAACATATCATGATACAATTTCAACATGAGACAAAGTCGAGCATTCAAAATTTGGAAACTCAAGTTAGCCGAATTTCGAACGCCGTGAGCTGACTTGAGGCAAAGGACTTGGGTAGACTCCTATATCAAACGGAGCAAAAACCGAGACAACATGTAGTGTATGCCATTTCCGAGGTAAAGAACCTTTCCAGCTTTGCTATTGTTTTTTATTTTATGATTCTATGGGTAAGTCTGTCATGTAGTGTTGCTCATTCTATCTAGCCCATGAATGGTTGCTGACCCCTAACAAAGAGGTCAGATTGGATGAGGAGAGGCCCCTGTGCTTCAAGCTAGGTCAATATGCCATGCAGAAGCCCCTTTCTCAGGCTTTGCAAGAAAGACACCTCATTCACCGCCTAGACCTGAGGGTTGCCTGAATTGACGGTTAACCCTAAATCGGAAATCCCCCCAGGACAACCCTACTCTGGAGGTCCCCTAGGCCGGCCTTGCTATGTAAACCCCTCTTCCTTCCGTTGGTAATTGGATTTCATATTATCTGCATCTCCTCGAACACTATAACAAACACTTTTTCCAAGCCTGCGTGTCTGTGGTCGTTTTCCACCCTTGGGGTGGTTTGTAGTAAATATCTTTACTTTCCTTGCACATATTTCTTCACTCTCTTTTGATTCATCTGTGCTTCTATTTGTTTCTTTTGGAATTTGGAGCTTCCCCGAGCTTTCAGACCCCATTTTTGGCCTGCTAATCTCCCTTTAGTTATCTTGATAGCTTGGGTAGCCCATCACTTTGGCCACCGTAAGATTGTATGCCTTTAGTTCAGGAATGATCTTCAGGCCTTCCCAACTATCTTTCATGCCTTAGGACTTTAAACAGTTTTGTCACAATACATCCTTACTTGATTTTTACCTTGAATTTCCAGTCAAGGTCGTATCTCCCCATTTGGGGGGACTTTCACCATTCTGCAACTTTTATGCTCTCATTAATTGAGCCATATCGGGTGGGTTGTTATTCTGGTCGTTCCGACTACATGCTAAACCTTTTCCATTGGTGTAGTTTTGTTAACCTTGAAAAAGGTTATCTTTTCCCGTTTTGTGGAACCTTGATTTTGTTCATGAAGGCTACTTAACCGTGGAAAAGGTTGTAAATTCCCGCTCTTATCTTAGGAAAGATTTGATAGAGTATATTGTCCCATATCTTATGGCTCACATACTAAGAAGACAAACAAAAGGACCACGA